TTTAGACCTGGTTCAGTCCTGGTTCAGTCCTGGTTTAGACCTAGATTAGACCTGGTTTAGTCCTGGTTCAGTCCTGGTTTAGTCCTGGTTCAGTCCTGGTTCAGTCCCTGGTTTAGTCCCGGTTCAGTCCTGGTTCAGTCCTGGTTTAGGCCTGGTTCAGTACTGGTTTAGACCTGGTTTAGACCTGGTTCAGTCCTGGTTCAGTCCTGGTTTAGACCTAGATTAGACCTGGTTTAGTCCTGGTTCAGTCCCTGGTTTAGTCCTGGTTCAGTCCCTGGTTTAGTCCTGGTTCAGTCCTGGTTCAGTCCTGGTTTAGTCCTGGGTCAGTCCTGGTTTAGCCCTTGTTTAGTCCTGGTTTAGACCTGGTTCAGTCCTGGTTCAGTCCTGGTTCAGTACTGGTGAGTCCTGGTTCAGTCCTGGTTTAGACCTAGATTAGACCTGGTTTAGGCCTGCTTTAGTCCTGCTTTAGTCCTGCTTTAGACCTGGTTCAGTCCTGGTTTAGACCTAGATTAGACCTGGTTCAGTACTGGTCCAGTCCCAGTTCAGTCCTGGTTTAGTCCTGGTTCAGTCCTGGTTTAGTCCTGGTTTAGTCCTGGTTCAGACCTGGTTTAGTCCTGGTTTAGTCCTTTCTTTTTCTTCTTCTTCTTCTTCTAGGTAATATCGTCGTCCCTGATTGGTCGGTGCGGCGCGTCCTACAGCATTTTCAGCTTCTGGATTCGCACCGCACTGACGCCTGAAGACGCGCCGCCAAAACGCAGGACGGCCTAGACCCGCGTCCGCACTGACCTGTCACCGGTCTGAACGGGCCTTTGAGAAATTCTGTAACGCAACAAATCAAATACATGACCCACCAGAAAGTCGAATATGAGGAACAGGTACTCCTCGTCCCTGACAGGGGGCGGTGTTTCCCCGATGGTGGTGAGCGTCAGCGTGGACCAGTACAGGCAGTAGATGTACTTCCGGGTCAGAGACGTGAACTCGGGGTCAGAGGCGTTTGGATAAACCCAAGAGTCTGAGCCCAAACCCAGGACCAAGGAGAAACTGTAGTACCTGAGGAGAGAGCGGGGCGTACAGTACTTTGCACTGCAACACGGAAATTTCCACATTGCGAGACCGTTAATGGTGCTGCACCTTTAAAAACTTAATCCAAACTTTTCCCTCACTTACATCTAACCCTTACTTCAATTATTCATCACAAGTTTCTACCGTATTTTTTGGATTATAAGTCACACTTTTTTTCATGGTTTGGATGTTTCCTGCGACTCATATATTTAAATTTTCACACTGACGGCCACAAGAGGGCGCTGAAGTCTCGTGTGTGAGTATCTGCCGCTCCTGTTCCTCCTGCACCACTGTCACTTCACTCTACTGCGCATGTCTCCTGCAGAAAGAGCCTCTGTCCTGCTGCAAGTAGCGAAATATTCAGCCCGAAACGGTAATCGAGCAGAAAGAAAGAAAGTTTGGAGTGAGAGAGAAACTTGTGACAGCGGGAGGATGCACCATGAAACTTTCCTGAAGTCACTGGATGGACAAAGTCTGGACTTCAGTGACACCGAAACCATCCTGTCGGGATTCAGAAAGACCCGAATAATTCTAACTGGAACTGATGCTGAGTCTGACGACAGAGTGGAGTTGCTCAGAAGTGACACCGAGGATGAAGAACTGAATGGATTTATTGATTTGGAGTGAGATGGAGAGTTTGTTAAACTTGTTCTGTTCTGTTGTTTATGTCATAGTTTATCTGAAGAACTGTTCATATGTGACGTTAACAGTCTGTTGTTCTCTCTTCTATTCTTATTACTAGAACTTGACTTTCAACAGGAAATGTTGGTTCCTGGTCTCTGATTTTATAAAATTAAAAAATGCGACTTATATATGTTTTTTTTCTTCTTCATTCGCATTCTTTGGCTGATGCGATTTACACTTCGGAGCGACTTATAGTCTGAAAAATACAGGAAACACTTTTCACAATTTTCAAAGCAGAGTTTTCCAGAGACCATAAAGGGGACAACAACTAGCATGCTAAAGTGCATTTCCTGATTAGAATTAGTGGTGGGCAAATGAGGCGGAGCTCCGGAGCGCGTCTCGTTCTTTCTGAAACAAATCGCTCCGGAGCACTGCCTCGGAGCTCGTCTCGCAGCAGCCGCTCACGTGACCGAAGTGTGGAAGTGTGGGTCCCTCCCCCTACTGCTTCTCTCTGCGTGTCAGTCGCTTCAGTGTATCGAAGCGTTTCATTGGCTCTGAGAATGTTCCGCTCTGTGATTGGTTCAGATGCTTCAGAGTGTTCGGCGCACTTCTGTGGTTTGACAAGCGCTAAACTGCTACAGTATAAAAGATGCACCGATATTTCTTAAAAACGCTGCGTAGTGAGGAGTGTTGTGTGACGTTCCTGGTGATTTTGGCGACTTTTGACGACTTTTGGCGACGTTTGTTTCATTTTCGATGGCATCTACAAGTGGAAAAAAGTGATCCATGGTTTGGGATCACTTTGATCTAATTCCACCCAACAAGGTAACACCTATTTTCTTATTTACAGCTGTTATTTATGTTCCTCTTTACATATTATTTTAAATCATCATTATTATTGTTGTTGTTGGTTCGGTGTCGCTCTGCACACAAGTGTTGTCTTACACTAACAATACTTCGTCGATGTTGAGACACCTGCGTGCCAATGATTAAATTTGTCCACTAGAGGTCAGTGTTTCTCTGAGGCCTCAGACACGTCCAACCATTTGAGACAATATTGCGACTGAGGTGTCGGTGCTTCACGAGGCTCCATTCGCCCGTCACTAATTAGAATGCATCATTGTAACACACTCTACGTTTCAGACTTCCTCTATTCATTACTGATTTTCTTATTTTTTTTATTTTTAATTGTCCAGTAAAAAAATATTTATTTGGAAAACAAGTGCTTGAGGTCAAAGTAAGACAGCCGCATCCTCTTTTTAACATTTTATTGTCCAAAAATATCAGGAAGTGCACATTAGCATGCTAGTTGTTGCTTTAGAGTCACTGAAAAACTTTGTAAATAATGTTGACTCAGATGATAATTGATGTTAGAGCACATTATTTACCGCAGTACAGCACTATTTTTTTAGATATCCATATTTGCATATTTGACATTTATAAACGTGTTCTTTTTGATTAGATCAGATTTATAGATGAGCGGGATGTCGTACCCACACGCGTTCCAGTGGATGATGACCAGGATGTAGAGCACCAGTTTGCAGATCCTGAAGGCGTTGGGGTACCCGGTCCGGGTCTCTGTGCGTTCGAAGAGCTCGGAGAGGCGGGTCAAACGCAGCAGGCGGTTGAACCTGAGCAGAGGGGTGTAGTCCGGCCCCGCCCACAGGTACAGCAGGTCTGTGGGCAGCACAGAGCCCAGGTCCAACCAGCACTGCACTGTTCGGACGTAAGTCTGTCTGAGGCGAGACAAGTCACGCACCAACAGACCCTGGTCCAGGAAACCTACAGAAATAAACACGTGTGAAGTAGGGTTGGGTTAGATGATGGGAGGAATCACAAAGGTTGTGTTCACGTCTACAATTTAATGAGGTCATAATTTGTCTGTTTTTAAAAGAGTTTGACATATAAATTTTATTAGGAAAGAATGTTTTTCTGTTCCAATATTAATATCGATACTGGGGCTCCAAGTATCTGCTGATACTCGACATCAGATGATACTACAGCAGAGACTGAAAACAGACTTTATTTCCTTTAAACACAAACAGTATAAGGTAAAAAAAAAAATGATCCAAATGTGTTTTGCAAAAGTGAAAAAATGCAGAGCACACTCAGATAGTCAATGTCCAAAAGATTTTTTTATTTTTAAATTACGCTCTGGGAAAAAAAAAAAAGCCCTCATCAGATATTTTTCTTGCCTTGGACGACTGTACAGTAGTAGTAGTGTACTGTGGTCCAAAGCAAGAAAAATGTCTGAAGAAGCTTTTGCTTCAGCTTTTGTCCATGGACTATCTGACTGTGCTCTGCATTTTTTCACGTTTATTTTGCTGTTCCTTCCATTTGCACCTCTGCAAGAACTTTGGTGTGCATTGTAACTATAGAACATCCATCCATTTTCTTCCTCGTATCCGGGGTCGGGTCGCCAGGGCAGCAGTTTAAGCAGGGACTCCCAGACTTCCTTCACCCCAGACACTTCCTCCAGCTCCTCCAGCGAAACCCGAGTCGTTCCCAGGCCAGCCCAGAGACAAAGTCCCTCCAGCGTGTCCTGGGTCTTCTCCTCCTGGTGAGACGTGCCCAGAGAGACACCCAGGAGACATCAGAACAGACGCCTCTCGACGTGGAGGAGCAGCGGCTCTACTCCGAGCCCCTCCCATGTGACTGACCTCCTCACCCTGTCTCTGCAGAGGAAACTCATTTTGGCCGCTTGTATCTGCGATCTTGTTCTTTCGGTCATTACCCAGAGCTCATGACCAGAGGTGAGGGAAGGACCGTAGACTGACTGGTAAATCGAGAGCTTCGCCTTTCAGCATAGCTTCTTCTTCACCACAACGGTCCAATACAGTGACCACATCACTGTCGACGCTGCACCTGTCCACCTGTCAATCTCACGCTCCATCCTCCCCTCACTCGAGAACAAGACCCTGAGATACTTGAACTCCTCCACACCCGGAGAGGACAAGACACATTTTTCCGGTCAGCTTTGTAAAAATACAAATATTATGAGGCGTTGGCCAGTGAATTGTTTTATTAAACCACTTTATACCAAAATGACATATTGGTTGATCGATATCGTGAAAGCCAAAATCCAATCCACCAAATTTGTCAGTAGTTGCGCCGATATTCGATACCAGTGTTGTACTGTGCATCCCCATGTTTAATAGGTCTATATGTTTTTTGAAATGGGCTCAGATTTTTAGATTTGTCTTATACATTAATGCCAGAGATCCTCACCGGTGTGGAGGCGCACCGCGATGTCCAGGATGTAAATTCCATCACAGACGTAATCCAACACCAACCAGACCAGGACGTGCTCCGCCTGCAGCTCCTCAAAACACGCTCTGGGAATATACAAGGAACAAAAAGGAAAAAAGGAATAACAGGACTAAACAGGCTCTGGGAAGAGATTTAGAGTATTTATTTAAACAGAACATAGTGTGATTTATAAAAAAAAAAAAAGAATGTACCTGACCACCAGTAAAGTGAAGTTGTAAAACACAGCTGTCCCGATCACACAGAGCCAGTGGTAATACAGGTCATCTGATGGACTCAGGACAATTATACGGCACTTTCTTTTCCTAAAACAAAAATCAAAACATGTTATTGGAGTAAGGACGCAGAGGAGAGGGTCAGAAGAGCAGAGGAGAGGGTCAGAGGAGCAGAGGAGAGGGTCAGAAGAGCAGAGGAGAGGGTCAGAGGAGCAGAGGAGAGGGTCAGAGGAGCAGAGGAGAGGGTCAGAGGAGCAGAGGAGAGGGTCAGAGAGAGCAGAGGAGAGGGTCAGAAGAGGGTCAGAGGAGAAGGGTCAGAGAGAGAGAGCAGAGGAGAGGGTCAGAAGAGTCAGAGGAGAGGGTCAGAAGAGCAGAGAGAGGGTCAGAAGAGGTCAGAGGAGAGAGGGTCAGAGGAGCAGAGGAGAGGGTCAGAAGAGGTCAGAGAGGAGAGGGTCAGAGGAGCAGAGGAGAGGGTCAGAGAGAGTCAGAGGAGAGGGTCAGAAGAGCAGAGGAGAGGTCAGAAGAGTCAGAGAGACAGAGGAGAGGGTCAGAAGAGAGAGAGGGTCAGAGGAGAGAGGAGCAGAAGGGAGGAGAGGGAGAGGAGAGGGTCAGAGAGGTCAGAGGAGAGGAGAGAGAGAGGTCAGAGAGAGAGGGCAGAGAGAGAGGAGAGGGTCAGAGGAGTCAGAGGTCAGACAAGAGAGTCAGAGGAGAGGGTCAGAAGGTCAGTGGAGAGGGTCAAAGGGTCAGACAAGAGGGTCAGAGGTCAGAGGAGAAGGTCAGATGGAGAGAAGGAGAGGAGATGCAGAGGAGAGGGTCAGAGGAGAAGGTCAGATGATTCAGAGGAGATCAGAGGTCAGAAGAGGGTCAGAGAGAAGGTCAGAGGAGCAGAGGGTCAGAAGAGTCAGAGAGGGTCAGAAGAGGAGAGAAGAAGGTCAGAGAGAGGGTCAGAAGAGAGGGTCAGAGGAGAGGGAGAGGTCAGAGGAGTCAGAGAGGTCAGAGAGAGGGTCAGAGGAGAGGGTCAGAGAGAGAGAGAGGGTCAGAGGAGTCAGAGGAGAGGTCAGAGGAGAGGGTCAGAGGTCAGAGGAGAGAGGGTCAGAGAGAGGGTCAGAGGAAGAGGAGGGTCAGAGGAGAGGGTCAGAGAGGGTCAGAGGAGTAGAGGAGAGGGTCAGAGGAACATAGGGTCAGAGGAGAGGGTCAAAGGAGCAGAGGAGAGGTCAGATGGAGAAGAAGTCAGAGGAGAGGGTCAGACAAGAGGGTCAGAGGAGAGGGTCAAAGTAGAGGGTCAGAAGAGGAGAGGGTCAGAGGAGCAGAGGAGAGGGTCAGAGAGAAGAAGATGCAGAGGAGGGTCAGAAGAGAGAGGTCAGAGATCAAAGGGTCAGACAGAGGGTCAAAGGAGAGGGTCAGAGGAGAAGGTCAGAGGAGAGGGTCAGAGGGTCAGAGGAGAGGGTCAGAGGGTCAGAGGAGAGGGTCCTCACTTTCTCCTCCTCTGCCTCCTCTCCTCGGGGTCTGAGCCTGTGTTGCTGTAGCTGACTCGACTGGGCGGAGCCTGCAGGTCGGGGTGGGCGGGGCCCCTGAAGCGTTCCAGGAAGGAGTCCGGTCGCTCCGCCTCCTCGTGTAAACCTTTGTGAGCCCAGTCCCGCAGAGTCAGAACCATGCCCACGATTCTGACAAAAACACACACAGATGTATAAAGTATAAACACAGATGACAAACATTTGATACGGTGGTCAGGTGTATATATTTTGTGATTTGAAAGTGAAAGTGAAAGTGATTTTTGGAACGTGTATATTACATCATTTGCACTTTTACAGACTTTCTAAGCAACTTTTATGGACTTTATCGACTTTTTAAGTAACTTTTGTGCAAATTTCAGTTTGTGTTTGCAGAATAAAATGACAAATTATTCGAAAACGCCTTATTTATTTGGTTTGCTATGTTATAGTACAGGCGCTACAGGGCAATTTTGTCTTGAGAAACCTCTAAATATTAATTAATTTGCATACAATTTTGACCCAAATACTTTTGGTCAGATATGGAACTAGGGATGTCCCGATCACATGTTTTTTGCCCCCGAGTTTGAGTTCTTTGATTTTGAGTATCTGCTGATACTGAGTCCTGATCCGATACTTATATAATATAATATAAAACATTATGAAATGAACTAAGAGCAAAGAATCAGATCCAGGATCAGATTGTGTTGATTTGTAGTATTTGACTGAACTCAAATCAAATGTCCAAAACTTTAATTTTATTAACTTTTCTAACCATTCATCATCATTGTTTGAAAATCTTGACTTTTCACATTTATTTCAAAAAAGTAACTGTAATCCAATTACCACTCACTGAAACAGTAACTGTAACTGAATACAGTTACTCATCATTTGTACTCTGATTACATAACTCCAGTACATGTAATCTGTTACTCCCCAACACTGGTTATATATGTATATTATTTATCTGATAACTGAACATAACGTCTGAGTCCTGATGGAGATTAATCTAGAGAATCTTAAAAAAAAGTTTTTGGACCAGCCTAATCAAGAAATTAAAAAAACCTAAATGTTTACTTGGCCAGGCGCCGCCAAACCCTCGTACCTGGACAGAGCTCCTCGACCGCGCAGGGAATTCTGGGAGTTGATGTCTCTTCTGTCGATGGCGGCCATTCTCTGTAGTTCTGAGGACGTGTCATCGCACACGGACTGCCCCCTGCAGGAAATACACGCAACTACAACATAATAATAATAATAATAATAATAATAACATGAGGTCAGAGTGTGTGGGTGGAGACAGGGGGTGGGTGAAAACAGGAATTTGAAAGAGGGAGAGAGGAGAGAGAGAAAAGAGAAGAGAAGAGAGAGAGAAAGGAGAAAAGAAAAGAGATAGAAGGAGAGAGAGTTTCAAGAACAGAAGAAGGAAGAGAGGAGAGAGAGAAAGGGAGATAAATGAAGAGAGAAAAGGAGAGAAAGAAAAAGAGAGACTGAGGGAGAGAGAGAGTTTCAAGAACAGGAGAAGGAAGAGTGGAGGGAGAGAGAGAGAGAAAGAGAGAGAAAGAGGGAGAGAGGAGAGTAAAAAAGAGAGAGAGAAAGTTTCAAGAACAGAAGACGGAAGAGAGGAGAGAGAAAGAGAGAAAGGGAGAGAGAAATGGAAAGGGAGAGGGAGAGAGAAAAAGAGAGGAGAGAGAGAACGGAAGAGAGAAAGGAGGAGAGAAAAGAGGAGAAAGAGAGAGAGAGAGATGAAGAGGGGGAGAGAGGAAGGGAGACAGAAAAAGAGAGATAGAGGTAGTCTCAAGAACAGGTGGAGGAAGAGAGGAGAGAGAGAAAAGACGAGAAAGAGGGAGAGAGAAAAGGAGAGAAAGATGGACAGAGGAAGAGAGGAGAGCGAGAGAAAGAGAGAGGGAGAGAAATGAAGAGAGAAAACGGGAGAAAGAAAAAGACTGAGGGAGAGAGTTTCAAAAACAGGAGAAGGGAGAGTGGAGGAAGAGAAGAGAGAGAGAGAGGAGTGTAAAAGAGAGAAAGAGGGAGAGAGGAAGAGAGGAGGAAGCGGGAGGAAGAGAGAGAAAGCGAGACAGAAAAAGAGAGATAGAGGGAGAGAGAGTTTCAAGAACAGAAGAAGGAAGAGAGGAGAGAGAGAGAGAACAAGAGGGAGAAATGGAAAGAAAGAGGGAGAGAGCGGAAGAGAGGAGAGAGAGAACGGGAGAGAGAAAGGAAGAGAGAAAAGAAGAGAAAGAGGGAGAGAGGAGAGAGAGAAAAGAGAAAGGAAGAGAGAGAAAGGGAGACAGAAAAAGAGCGATAGAAGGAGAGAGAGGAAGAGAGGAGAGAGAGAGAAAGGGAGAGAAAGAGGGAGGGAGGAGAGTAAAACAGAGAAAGAAGGAGAGAGGAAGAAGAGAGAGAAAGGGAGAAAGAAAAAGAGTGATAGAAGGAGAGAGAGTTTCAAGAACAGAAGAAGGAAGAGAGGAGAGAGAGAGAAAGGGAGATAAATGAAGAGAGAAAAGGAGAGAAAGAAAAAGAGAGACTGAGGGAGAGAGAGAGTTTCAAGAACAGGAGACGGAAGAGAGGAGAGAGAGAGAGAGAGAGAAAGAGGGAGAGAGAAATGGAAAGGGAGAGGGAGAGAGAAAAAGAGAGGAGAGAGAGAACGGGAGAGAGAAAGGAGGAGAGAAAAGAGGAGAAAGAGGGAGAAAGAGAGAGAGAGATGAAGAGGGGGAGAGAGAGGAAGGGAGACAGAAAAAGAGAGATAGAGGGAGAGAGTTTCAAGAACAGGTGGAGGAAGAGAGGAGAGAGAGAGAGAAAGGGAGATAAAGAGGGAGAGAGAGAGAAATGAAGAGAGAAAAGGAGAGAAAGAAAGAGAGAGAAGAAGAGAGAAAACAGGAGAAAGAAAAAGAGAGACTGAGGGAGAGAGAGAGTTTCAAGAACAGGAGAAGGAAGAGTGGAGGAAGAGAGAGAGAGAAAGAGACAGAAAAACAGAGATAGAAGGAGAGAGAGTTACAAGAACAGAAGACGGAAGAGAGGAGAGAGAGAGAAAGAGAGAGAACAGGAGAGAGAGAAAAAGAGAGAGGGGGGTTACAAGAACAGGTGGAGGAAGAGAGGAGAGAGAGAGAAAAGGAGAGAAAGACGAGAAAGAGAGGAGAGAGAAAAAGAGGGAGAGAGACGAAGAGAGAGAAAGAGAGACAGAAAAAGAGAGATAGAGGGAGAGAGAGAGTTTCGAGAACAGGAGAAGGAAGAGAATAGAGAGAAAGGAAGAGAGAAAAGGAGAGAAAGGAAGAGTGGTGAGAGAGGGAAAGGGAGAGAGAAAAAAAAAGAGAGGGGGTTACAAGAACAGGTGGAGGAAGAGAGAAGAGAAAGACAGAAAGGAAGAGAAAGAGGGAGAGATGAGAGAAAAAAGGCAAGAAAGAGGGAGAGAGAGAGAGAGAGAGAGAGAGAAACGAAGAGGGAGAGAGAGGAAGGGAGACAGAAAAAGAGAGAGAGGGAGAGAGAGTTTCAAGAACAGGTGGAGGAAGAGAAGAGAGAGAGAGAAAGGGAGATAAAGAGGGAGAGAGAGAGAAATGAAGAGAGAAAAGGAGAGAAAGAAAGTGAGAGACGAAGAGAGAAAATTGGAGAAAGAAAAAGAGAGACTGAGGGAGAGAGAGAGTTTCAAGAACAGAAGAAGGAAGAGTGGAGGAAGAGAGAGAGAGAGAGAGAGAGAGAAAGAGGGAGAGAGGAGAGTAAAAGAGAGAAAGGTAGAAAGGAAGAGAGGAGGAAGAGGAGAGAAGAGAGACAGAAAAAGAGAGGAGAGAGAGAACGGGAGACAGAAAGGAAGAGAGAAAAGAGGAGAAAGAGGGAGAGAGGAGAGAGAGGGAAATGAGGAGGGAGAGAGAGAGAAAGAGAGACAGAAAAAGAGAGATAGAGGGGAGAGAGAGTTTCGAGAACAGAAGACGGAAGAGAGGAGAGAGAGAGAACGGGAGAGAGAAATGGAAAGCGAGAGGGAGAGAGAAAAGGAGAGAAAGAGGGAGAGAGGAGAGAGAGAGAACGCGAGAAAGAAAAGGAGGGGGGGTTTCAAG